ACGCCGATGGAATATTTTTATCATCACTTCTGTTAATAACAGAAACCAGAAAGAAGTAATCTTAGGGAATTGTTTATATTCAATATGCCATTTGTAGGTTGATGCGAAGTGTTTAAATCAGTGCCGAGCTATCTATCTATCTATCTATCTATCTATCTATCTAATGAGATCTTTTTCGAATCAATCTTGATAGCTGTCTCAGTCAGTTTGAGCCTATCTATCTATCTATCTATCTATCTATCTATCTATCTATCTATCTATCTATCTATCTATCAATATTTTTCAAATCTGTATATATATATCTGTATCATCCTTTTCAAAACTCTCTATCAATCATAGTATTTGTACAAATCTGTCTATAATTCTATATCATTATTTTCAAAGTTATCTATCGAATTCTTTGTCAAATCTATCTATCTATCTATCTATCTATCTATCTATCTATCTATCTATCTATCTATCTATCTATCTAGTTCTTTGTCAGATCTACATCTACCTATCTCAGTATTTTGAAAATCTATCTCTCATATATCTATATCATTCTTTTCTATCTATCTATTGAGCTAGTGATCCACATACAAGGGCTCAATCGGCTAACGAGAGATTCACACAGAAAGCCAACAGGAAACTGGTATCTATCTATCTATCTATCTATCTATCTATCTGATAAAACTTCCCACTATTGATATTGCTGTATCCGTGGTGTCAGTAGACCTAGGTTGATAATAATGGTTTCCTTATGTAGGCAATCTTTCTCGATTTTCTTTAGTAGCACTAATGTAATTATATCCTTTAAACGTTTAGCCTTCTTGACTGTGTACCAAACATCACTTGACACCTTTATAAAAGAGACTAACACAGCAAACTTGTCACCGTCCTGTACATTGTTGCAAACTTTGAAGTTTGACGCACTTATCTTTTTCATGGAGAAGTTCGAGTGGGTTCATAAAATTCTGACTGGTATTCAGAGATATTACGGAATTTACTGGACCCAAAACTCAAAAAGCTTGGTGATTCGGGTGCATGGATTCTACACGATGGGGCCTCAGGCAGAAACACATATCGAGAAGATCACCCGAGGTTTCGAGCTAGCTGTTTTCAGGACATTTCATCTCCCCATCCGGTGACGTGGTATCTCCTGCACGCTCAAATGATCTCTCCCCATGTGATTATTTTCACTGAAAACGGAAGTCCAAAAGCTCTAATCAAGAATACTATTTACATTATTCGGACTATTGTCTTCATCTTTGTCGCCATATTTATTACAAAGTTTCGGCCGTTGTACGCTCCGGCCTTCTTCAGGTGGTTGGAATGTCGAACTGAACACTTTGTTTCGCTTACTTGGGTAGATGAAATGTTTTTAAGCATAGAAATGAATACAGTATGGGAACCAGTAATACGGTGTATCAAAGAAAAGCGATAATAACAACAAAAATTGCAATATGAACTCAGGTAAAAACATAAAATGATAACAGCAAAAAATTGCAATATGAACACTGGTAAAAAATGATGCTGAGACATTAGGTTTATAATACCCAGAAATTCATACCCAGATGTCCTCATGGCACAGTGGATAAAAGCGTTGGTTAGATCCATTGACAGGACCCAAACAGTGTGAGTTCATTACCCGGTTAAGGCAGTGGAGAACTTGGAGAGGGGAATTAACAGGAGATAACTGATAACTGACATTCATTAAAAAACATGGCACGTCAAAACCGTCTATCTCAGTGAGCGAAATAATGAGTTCAGTTCGACATTCTAACCAACTGAACAAGGCCGGAGTGTACAACGTCCGAAATGTTGTAATAAATATGGCGACAAAGATGAGGACAATAATCCGAATAATGTAAATAGTGTACATAATACCTCATCTCAGAAATAAAGACAGATACAATCAAGAATAGTTGACGAACTGAAGACTGCTATATGCCAAACAGTTACAGAAGTGTGGCGTCAGATACTTTCCGAAGCCTTATTTAGGAGTCGACCATTTTTCCCAGTGTCTTTAGCGATGGATCGTATATGTGAGGGCTTGAGTGAATTCGAGTCTCATAGCAAGGAACTTCAGACGTTCAAAGCAAGGGACGTAACTGGTACGAATTCAGTGTCAGCTCCAGTATTATGAAAAGTACCTGGAATAGTTTTTCTTTAATATTTAAATGCAGCATAATTATAATTTCAAATTGAGGTCTTTCTATTTTTGGCCCTTTTCAAATTCTTTATCTGAATTTATTCTCACAGTGTCTTATTTTATCTAATACAGGCTGCAATGAATAAATTATCGTCTAAATTACGCAAAAATGAAAATAACATTAACATCTCGGTTTGAAGTTTCAACGTAGACTATCTGACGAGTAGCCTGACGATTGCTTCTAGGATGAAACAGACAGCCTGTCGCCTCTAAGTGTTAATTTTAATGTTCACTTTTATATTTACACACGCTCTATCTTTGATATTGAGCACTTTATCCCATAAATATAGCACACCTTAAGACAATATTTCTTCACATATATATATATGGTATTTATCAATCCACCCACGGGGATCGAATGTGGCACAAGGCCTTTTTAATGTGGGTATCTCTGAGCCCGTAGGCCCAGCCAAAAATAAATAACCATCCAAACCCGCCGAGGCGGGCCAGTTCCAAATCAACCTCCCCAACGAAACCCCACCCTTCGGCAGAGCTTCGTCTGGGTTCCTCTCTGCAAGCAGAGAGTTCGACGAGACACCCGACCTGGCAGCTCACAAAGCGCAGATACTACACTTTGATCCTAGCCACCGGGCCGAGCGGGTATTCTTTTTATAGATATATAAAACTATATATATATATATATATATATATATATATATATATATATATATATATATATATATATATATATGTAGTGCGATGTATAAATTGTCTTCTAAATTACGCCAAAATGAAAATAACACTGACATCTCATTTTAAAAGATATATTTACCAAAATTACAGGAAAAAATCTTGGAATACTAAAGAGTAAATTTATTCAATAAAATCTGGATTGACTTCAAGCACGGCGTCAAGACGACTTCGTAATATCCTGCAACTCTTCTGGACGGTCCGCGAATGCTGCCATAAGCGTTGGCTTCATTTCGTCATTGGTGTTACAAGTTGTTTTGTTGGTTTCTCCCTAAACTCCGCCCTACACATATTAAACACGGGTGTTACAGCTTTGAGAGTTATGTGGCCAGATATCAGAGGTGATGTTGTTGCAGGAATTGTCTAATAGTGCTCCTGCTTATCCAGCAGTCACCCTATTGACCCAGGGCAGCACTACCTCCTCAAGGCACTTGATGTGGTCCTCCGAGTTGACTCTGAGCTCCACACCAACAAATCCGGAAGTTCTTTTCTTATCAAAACTATCGGAGTGAGTTTTAAAAGCTGCTGTGCCTTCGTAATCACTGTTAGACTCATCTGACTATTTACGAACCTTCTGTACTGCCCTCAGATTGACACGCAAACACGCTGAAATATTCGTATTGGAGCTTCCGGTGCGAATGCCAAGCAGTACAGCATGCCGTTTCCATATTTCTGGCGGAATGAATAGCGTCATGGTGCTATTTTTCTCACAGATGGTGTCCAACTATACTGTGCAGTCGACCAGAGAATAAAGAAAACAACAATGCACAAATGCGAAATTAAGAATATATTCATCCATCGCACTTTGTATATAGCAATTACCATCTTCGAGGTCTTTTATGACAATATCTGGCCTTTTAGCTTCTGTCATTTTGTATAGTAATGTCATACAGTATAGTATCATAATCTTGAATTGTTGGTGTTTTTTTCTTATGACATTTTTAGGCATGAAGGCATGTTATAAAATGATTTTCAAAGATTGTCTTATACTATCATATCTATTTAAAAAAAAAGGTTCTATGATCCATCAGCCAGATATTAGATAAAACCATCGTCTCCTCAGTGTAAGTAGAGACACGCCACTTGTTATTTATTCTTTAAAATATGTGCCAGATAAAATTGTGTACTTGATAAGACCTGGGCATTATAAAGACATTTTGCTATTGAGCTTCTACGATAAATTTTTCGGTTTCTAGTTTTCAAACAATCCTTCGACTTTTATAGCCGTTGTCGGATCACTGACTTTAAATTTTTCGTAATAATCTTGTTTAAGTCCTATTCTATAGTCATACCATCACTCTATTTTTATACACTTGCTAAGACTAATGTATTTTTTCTGTTCATAACAAGTTCTTATAAAAACTTATTAATAGCTTCAAAATTAGTTTGTGCTTTGAAGAGTAAAACACGGAAATAAACAGAAAGACAGTCAAACAACAATGAAATGGTTTCTGTTGAAAGGTTGGCGCGTTCTTGCGCTTAATAAATTAATACATTGAAAAGAAATATTTAACAATTTTCAACCATGATCCCTTGAAGAGACGATAAGAAAAGTTTCTAGACAAGATGGACAGTAAAGAGAAGGGACGTCAGCAGTTCACGACGCTAAAGGCCTAAAAGAAATTCCCTTACTCATTCATCAGTCTTCCTCAGCAAGCTACGTGATACTTACACTTTCTCCCTTGCATCTTTTTTCTCACACGTACACATGAACAACTGATATTTCTTTACATCTTAACAAACAACTACAAGCAAGGATTGAAAGAAATTTAGCACTCATGCAGTCAGTTATGTGAAACAGGGTTAGACGATCATGCATCTTTCGATACATGACTGACGAGGCAGATTTTTCCCGCAGTGGGTTGCCATTTCTTTCTGCAGTAGACCAGGCTATAGAATACGGTATGTCATGCTGTTTACCCATAGCTGGGGGGGGGGAGAAGAAGAGGAGTCATACCTTTCTCTTAGCACGTCAGTGAATGTAATGGATTCGAATGGAATTCGAAATCGGCTCTCCGATTCCTCAAACCGAACCGCTATCCATAACTCCACCGTTTCTCCTCATACACGCTAGGAAAAGTTGTCCTGCTGCTTACCCATAGGTGGGGGGAGAAGAAGGTGATTCATACATTTTTCAAGGGCATTAGCACGTAAGTGAATGTAATAGATTTGACTGGAATTCGAACACCGGCTCCCCGGTTCCTCAATACAAGCTGCTGTCCATAAATCATATATGTGTCTCTTCATACACGCTAAGAAAAAATTAGTTGAAAAATCTCGAAAATAAAAATATTTAACCGTTTTTGCATTCTTCTTTGTTGTGGATTGATTCAAATCCGCAACAAACTCCATCTTGTTTATAGCTTTTACTCGTCTAAAATCACTATTTACATTTTTCGGATTCTTATCCTCATCGTTATTGCCATATTTATTGCAGCGTATTGGCCGTTGTACATTACGGTGGTTGGAATATCGGACTGAACCCTTTATTTCGCTCGTTGGAGTAGACTGTTCTAGTTCTAAGTACCATGTCTAATGGACGTCAGATATCTACTCTCCAAGTTCTCCACCGCCTTAACCAGGTATTGAATTCACACTCTTTAGGTCCTGTCACTGGATCTAACCAACACCTTTATTCACTGTGCCATGTGTACTTGAGGACTGTTAATTCTCATCTCCAATTTCTCTACCGCCTTAACCAGGTATTGAACTCACATTAAGTGGGTCTGTCACTGGATCTAAATAAAGCCTTTATCCACTGTGCCATGTGTACTTGAGGACTGTTAATTCCCATCTCCAAATTCTACACCGCCTTAAGCAGGTATTGAACTCACACTCTTTGGGTCTGTCACTGGATCTAAATAACGCCTTCATCCACTGTGCCATGTGTACTTGAGGAGTGTTAATTCCATCTCCAAAATCTCCACCATCTTAACGGCGTATTGAACTCACACTCTTTGGGTCCTGTCACTGGATCTAACCAACACCTTTATCCACTGTGCCATGTGTCTTTAAGGACACAGTCATCTAAAATCATTCCTTTTTGTTTTGTCTTCCCAGTGATGCATGTTGGATCCATTTCTTCCTTATTGACTCCAATATGATAGTGAGCATTTTGTGACCAAGATACCGAATTACACTTAGATTATCAACTTTCGTAGCCTTTATCTGCAACAGTCCCCCCCACTTTTTAATGTTTGCCTTATCATATTTCTCTCAGTCATATTTTATGATAATTTCACCACTAAATTTCTTTAACACTGCTTATGTACAACCGAGTTCATTATGAACTGGGATAAACACTTTCAAATGATCTGTATAGAATAAGTGTTTACTAAACTTATTAAATATGTGATGTTCGTAAAGTGTGCTATTTCGTTTATTTGAGAGAGTTTTAATGCAATATTGGGAACGTGGACATTTGGCCGACATACATTTCGCCGAACGGACATTTGGCCAAATGACATTTAACCGAATAGACATTTAGCCGAAAATGTAGTGGCGTACTTACATGTATGTCATAGTCTTTATCGTAATGTGATAAATATATTTATTTACTGTATTAATTTATAATTTTTCGTTTATTTTTTTGTTTTTTTTGACAGGCTTTTTTAAAATTCTATATTGTATATATTACATTTTACTTCAAATATTACTGTAAGATGATAAGTATTTTGAGAAAGTGTTATGATGTCGATTTGGGGTTAGTAGAGACAATTGCCAAATAACACGTAACAATAAAAAAGGGTTTTAATAAGTTGGTAAAAAGGTACAGAAATCGCCTGAGTAGTCAATAACTAGCCCAGCTAAGAATTTCTCTATCTATCTTTCCCATGTCAACTGATATGCCACTATTTAAAGTCTTTGTTCACAGACGCAGACAAGTTCATCTTCAAGAGGGGTGGTAGGTTTCCGACAGAAAGAAACATATTTTTACTGCAGCAAAAATCTTAAGCTTTTACGATATGAAACATCTTTCAATTTCGCTTTTAATGATCATTATCTTAAAGGGATAAACTAGATTTAGCTTACTGTTAAATATGAAATTAAATAATTAGGAGCTACTTTTTACTCAAATACACTCAAATATTTTTAAAAAATACTAATTTCAATAAACAAATATTGAAATAAGAAAAATTTTAATTTAAATTTAGATTTAGTAATTTAATCACTTGAAATTCTGTTATGATGTTGATTTGGGGTTAGTAAAGACAAACGCCAAATAACATGTAACAAATAAAAGGGGTTTATTAGGTTGGTAAGTTGGTACAGAAATCGCCTGAGTAGTCTATAACTAGCTCAGATAAGAACTTCTCTGAGTATTTATCGATCCCCCCACGAGGATTGAATGTGGCACAAGGCCGAGTTTAATGCGGGTTGATCCGAGCCCGTAGCCTCGGCCAAAAATATAGCCCTTGAACCCGCCTAGACGGGTTCAGGCCCTGTCTACCTCCCCAGACGAAACCTTGCCCTTCGGCAAAGCTTCGCAGAGAGTTCGACAGAAGTCGGAAGTCAGCTAAGAACTTCGGTATTTATCATTTCACCCACGGGAAACGAATATGGCACAAGGCTGGTTTTATTGTGGGTTTCTCCGAGCCCGTAGGCTCGGCCAAAAAAATAGCCTTTTGAAGCCGATTAGACGGGTTCAGGCCCTGTCTACCTCCCCGGAGTAAACCTTGCCCTTCGGCAAAGCCTCGTCCGGGTTCCTCTCTGCTAATGCAGAGCGTTCGACAGACGTCGGAAGTCAGCTCAGAACTTCTCTGTCTGTCTTTTGACATGTCATTATTTAAAGTCTTAGTTTGTAGACAAGTTCATCTTCAAGAGGGGTGGTAGGTTTCCTACATAACAAATTCAATGGTAATTATTCGTCTTTTTCTACCTTATAATACTGTTAATTAAAATACTTAAACTATTACTTGTACTATTTTTACTTGTACTTTTTCGGTGAAATGTCAGTCGGCCAAATGCCGTTGGCCAAATGTCTGTCGACCATATGTCCGGACACTGCAATATTATATAATATGAGTGAGACATTCTTCGGCTTATCTGTAAGTTTTCACATCTTAATTTGACCATTAAGTTGGTTGATGTTCATGGCCGCTACCCATTTCTTTCATAATGACTTTTAAAAAATTAAAACGAGTAGGAGAAATTTTCATTATCTTTAGTCAATTATTCAGTTAGATGAATTTTTTATCATCTATCCATGCATTTCGTTTATTTCCTTTTTGGACAAATGTTATCGTGCAATATTTCTTTTAATCAGTAAATGACTTTGGCAGCCATAATAACATGTTACATCCATTTCGCTCTTCAGAGATAAATGTCATTTATTTCAAATGATCAATAAATCCTTTCATTTTAAACTGAGTGTTAATGTTCTATCTAAATATTTGATTGGTTGTTAATCTTGGCAGTTAGTAGTGTCGACATCTTCGGGAATTAAATAAGAATACATTAGGGTTGATTTTATGTGTTTCGATCTGTGTTAGTGAAAACCTTACGAAACGGATTTGCTAATGTCTTGAGCATAGATGGAAAAAGCATTTAGATAGAAATTCTGTACCTTATCTATTTCTGGGCATTTATATTTCTTTTGATTATTTGAGAATGTTTTGTATTTGTTTAATGTCCATTTTATTCCATTCCTGTTCGTTATTTTCTCTTTTCTCCTGTTCGGTATTCTTAATCTATTCCGGTATTTCTTTACGTTTTCCTATATCTTAGTCCAGGATTATCTCCCTTTTTCATTTGATGGAATATTTTCTTTTTTCTCTTTCTTTTGTTGATTCTCCAATTTTCCAATAGCGATTTTCCCCTGGCAGTTCGCAAAGTATTGGTTTGTTAAAAAAAAAAAAAAATGATTTCCCTTCTCATATTTCTTTTTGCTTTGTGCGTTGTTTGAAGAATTCTCTTACAGTTTTGCATTACATTACATTTCCTTATTTTCTATTATATCTACGTTTATTTTTGAAAATCTCCTGCTATGCACTTTTCATTCCTTTTAATACTTCATCTAAATGCGTCCTGGGTATGATGATAAACTACATCTGCGTCAAGGATAAGACGATAAACTACATGCGCGTTCTGAGTATGATGTTAAACTACATCCGCGTCCAAGCTAAGACAATAAACTACATCCGTGTCCAGGGTAAGACAATAAACTACATCCGCATCCAGGGTAAGACAATAAACTACATCCGCGCCCTGCGTAAGATGATAAACTACATCCACATCCTGGGTATGATGATAAACTACATCCGCGTCCAGGGTAAGACGATAAACTACATCCGCGTCCTGCGTAAGACGATAAACTACATCTGCGTCAAGGATAAGACGATAAACTACATCCGCGTTCTGAGTATGATGATAAACTACATCCGCGTCCAGGGTAAGACAATAAACTACATCAACGTCCAGGGTAAGATGATAAACTACATCCGCGTCCTGCGTAAGACGATAAACTGCATCTGCGTCCACGGTAAGACGATAAACTACATCCACGTCCAGGGTAAGACGATAAACTACATCCGCGTCCACGGTAAGACGATAAACTACATCTGCGTCCTGCGTAAGACGATAAACTACATCCGCGTTCTGGGTAAGATGATAAACTACTTCCAACAACAATACCTCTGACAAAAAGGTTTTGAGGAGCGTGGAACCACCTCTTAATTAATAGTGTTCCCAGGTCCACCCTGACGCGGAGTTGTAGGACTTGTTAGGGTCCCATCTATGGGCAAATAGTTAAACCCGAAACTGAGGTAAAAAGCATTATAAAAGTGTAAAAATAGTTTTAATACCAGAAATACTTTGCAAAATATTATTACCAGAATATAAATTTTTGAAGAAAAAAACTATTACCAGCAATATGTTTTTGAAAAAAAATAAAATTACCAGCAATACATGTCATTTTACTCAAAAATATGAGTAATTGAAAATGGTTCAAATACATACATATATATATATATATATATATATATATATATATATATATATATATATATATATACCTTTTTTACTAAACTATCGCTATGAATATATTTCAAAAGTTTTGTTGTCATTAAATAACCCACTGTGGTTGATATGCCATGATACAAAAGAATCAACCAACCAATAAACTTCATCCAATAGTGAGAGTCCTCCCAGGAGGATTTCAGTGTTTTCTTTACCACACTTAGCCATGATGGAGATTTGTGATTATTTCCTGTGTAATCTATTTTTTATGGTCAGAGCAACTCGGATTGAAGAATCGGAGAGCCGAGTTCTAATTTCAATCGAAACCATTAAATTTACTTATGTGTTAATACCCTTGGTAAATGTATGAGTCCTCATCTTCTCCCTTCAGTTATGGCTAAATAGCAGGACAGACCGGATTCTTTAGCATCGGATAGCAACTGGCTTATCACATAAACAAATGGCAACCTACTGCGGGAAAAAAATCTGCCTAAGCGTGTATCACGCATGGCACATAACTGATTGAAATTGAAGTTTCCTCCGAAGCCTGTATGTTGATATCAAGTGGGAATGTCTATGCTGATGGCATAGATATTCCTAGTTGGGATACGAATGATCTCAAATAATAATAAAATAAAATAAAGTTTAAAAAAATAACCTCTACTAAGTGTTCCCAGAATTAGAAATCTGGGATTTGAATGAAACAGCTTAGGCCACGGAAACAGAATTCATCTTTTGTTACAGTTTTTTGTGTATATATATGTAACTAGTGAGTTAGTCCAAATGCCTTGACTCACTTCATAGTCCACCAATAGAAGGTTAACCAATCAGAAGACGTAGATCATTCAATTCGTCGTGTATAAAGGCGGCCATTTTCGTTTACCCTACCCGAAGGATCAGTGCCAACTTGTCAGGCGAAGATGAACAGAAGGAAGTACTACGCTCTGCTACTTTGCTGCGATATCCACTGCTAACCTGAACTACGCTTTCCTACTGTCTCCGAAATATTCACTGCTAACCTCTGGATTCTATACTTGAAGACGACCGTCATGATGTATAATATCTTTTACTTAAAAACTCGAGCCATGTTCAAGACTTTTATATAGTTAAGTCATCCATGGTGCTAGACTTGTACAAAAATATCTAAACTCTCAATCGTATAAAATTCCTTTCTCGGATCGATGGTTAAATGAGGATTAGAGAGAGGGAGTCCTGTAGGTTTTAGCAAAGACCATTCTTTTTCGAAACTCAAGGGCTACATAATCGTAAAGAAATGTACCAGATAACAGATACCATATCACAAGAGGTCGTTCAACAACAGTTACCATTAAAATGGATAACACATATAAATCGTAATGAAAATAATGATATAAAAATCAGACTTGCACAACACTTTAAACAAAAGGTTAGGAAGGAAACTTGCATCAGTACTGGGAAGAGCAATAACAGTTACTGGACATGTGAAATATATTCTCCTGAAAATGTGTCTTAATAGAAAGATTTTATGAAGTTGCACTAACTGTCCGGTCAATAAATGCCAAACGTTCCCTCATAGAAGAACACTTAATATTACCTTTAATACGATGCCTACGGATTAGCGAAAAGCTAAACTCGATTAGCCATGGCTGTTCGGTCAATGATTGTTGCATGCTTGCATAAAGGAAATAGCTATTTTTACCATTACTATTAAAGATAAGAACAGATACTACACTTTGATTCCAAGTACAGGGATTCCTACAGAAGTTAACAAAGTAAAGCGAGAAGGCCCAGACATCAACTCTAAGAAAATAGATTGTATGGTTGTCGGCAAAATTGGCAGCCCAACATGCAAATTACAAAATGGATATGCCAACATCAAGAAAGTACAAAAATTAAAAATATCTAGGTGTTTTAATAAGGGACAAAAAAATGTGTCTAGCACACTTTGGCACCAGCAGTTCGGCGCAGACTCACATCAGCGCGGCCACATTGGCGCAGGCCCACATCGGCGCTAGTTCAATTTAGCGCAGGCTCCCTCAAAGCAAGCTCACTTAAGCGCAGAACCAGTTCGGCGCTACTTTTTTTTTCTGAGCCACAGACGACAAAGAAGAAAAAAAAAAGAATAATCTCTGGGATATAGAATTAAGGAACTAGGCTAAGCTAACACAGTAACATAAAAAAGTAAAAAAAATAAAAAAAATAAAAAATATATATTATAATAAAATACAAAAAGAAAGTAGTTTAGTTTCCTTCAAACAGCCGGCTGAACCGCGGTCTAATTACAGATATTTTCCTAAATTACTGAATATACTTAGGGTATATATATATATATATATATATATATATATATATGGTCATTATTTTCTCTTTTGCTTCTTTAAGGTCAGTTTTATTGTGGTATTTTGGTGATAGACCAAGATGTCATTTTCAGTTGAACTTATGCTCGGCATTTCTACTTGTATTAAAAGTGATCTCGCCACAAAAAAGCAAGAGTTTACAAGACGGCGAACAACATATATATTTGTTTTTATTGAGGGATCATGAAAAGCTCATTAAATCTGAATGTATTTAATCTTTTACTCTATACCGCAGGTATTCTCTCTGTCAGTATAAGTATACTTTGGACGAGTCCATCACATGTAAAAAGGGGAGAGCCCCAAAACAATAACTCACCAATAGTTGA